TAATTAGTTATGAATTAAAACAAATTACTGTACATGTATTCAAGTTATAAAATCCATCAGCATTTTCTATTGCTATTAAGCTTGTAAAACTGTTCTATAAAAAAATAATCCATATAAATGTATATGTACTAATATGGGAAAAAATGAAGATTTTTCTATATATGCATATTATTTGGAGTGTACCTTTTGCGCCACACAATCTTGAAAATGGGAAGCTGATATTCTGATATATTGGGTAAAAACGTTTAAAAATCACTGCACTAAGTGATTGTAAGGAAGTAAGTGGTGAATTTTATCCTTACGAGGTTTTTCATACCTGTAGCGTTGTGTCAAACTCAGCCAAATTTACTAAATAACTATATAACCTATCAAATACAACACAATGTTACATGGCATCTCAGTTTCAGTTATTTTCCCACCGCTGTAGCGTAACTTTTGTTCTGGTGAGTTTTTTGTCTTTGATACCGACACTTTATGAATTTAAACATAACTCTAGATTGACGACAGGGTCTCATCATTTTACAGTTGAAATGGCTAGATGTAACCGTAAGTTCTATGCTAACAGATTCTTCTATCGCACTTCCTGTTTCTAGAACTCTCTTTTGGGTTCTAGCTTTCCAGTCAACTTTGCACGTCAAAAATTTAAATACAGTGTCAATCGTTATATTCTGACTTCTTAATTCCTATTCTTTTATTGTTCTCTCTCCTTAATAAGGTCTTCTTTTTCTCATTCTTTCACACTCGGTGAGCTCTTGCAACTTAGTGGCTTTATTACCTTGTTTGGAGAGAAATGTTAAAAAAAACAATTATCGTTTGTGCAACATCGTTTCTCATACTTAGTAATATATTCCGTTGATATGATAACAGAATCCATGACTAATAAGCGAATAATTTGATAGTACATGATTTTTTTTCTTGTGTTTTGTGTTAGTCTTATATGAATATTTTTATGTTAAATATGGAAATTATATAAAATTATAAAAATGACTGAAGTTGTTGTAACAGTTATCAGCGCCGAAAGTAAAATCGACGTGCGAATTCCGACCTAATATGTTCTGTTCACTTTCGCACTAATGCTCTTCCCCCCAGCTATGGGTTATATAGTAAGGTAGACTGGATTGCAGAAGGACCGTTCTGACTTTAACGAGAAACCAAATCCCTATCTTTCCAAAGAAATCGTGGCAATTCACAGATAATAAAGAAAAAGTAATTTGTGGAGAATCATGAATTCAGAGTTATAGGAAAGTGCTCCTATATCTTCCCCAACTCATTGCAATTCACAGATAATAAACAAAAAAGAGGCTGTAGAGAGCCATAATCGCCCGCGTTCTGAAGGGACATAACATTTAAAAATCAAAAATACTAGATTACTCACGCAGAAAATATAACCGATGCAGTTGTAAAATTGCTTAAATATTGACGTCATTTTTTTTTATGAGTGTACGGGTGAGTATCTTTATAATTGTTAAAAGTAAATAGGGAACACGTGTTGAATCGGTGCTGAGACGAAGAAGTAGTGTGAAGAGAGTTGAATATGGTTTCCATTTTGAACCCTTGGCGGAAGTTGACTCACCGGAAACAACTTTGCTGACTGAGTGTCTGTGTTGCGAATCAATTAATGCTTTTCTAAATGTCCGCCTATTCCCCTGAAGCTAGTTTTTGTTTTGCGGATAGAGAGATGCACAAACGTTTTCTAAACAGTGTAATATTCTGAAAAAAAAAAGAAGAGAAAAAAATCGGCTGACAACTCTGGTTTCCGATTTAGTACTGAATTTAAGATATGTTTAGGAATAAGAAAAAGTATTCACTTTTTTCTCAGCTATGGGGGAAATAGAAAAAGAATCTGCGTTCGAGACTTAAGTGGCAGCCACTCTAGGAAGGCAGCAACACTAAATGCAAAACGGTGGAAAAAGCAACGAGAAATCACTCCATTATGTTTCTAAAAAACTCAGACATTCACAGATAATAAATAATCGGAGTTTGTGGAGAGCCATGATCTGAAAGTAGATAGCATTAAAAAGAATAGTTTACTTTTCAAATTAAAAGAAAATTCATGTGTTGTCATATTTTACCATTAAAAATTTAAAAATACAGTTAACATGATAGCGTTTAGTCCTAAAAATGCACTTGCATCTGAACAGTGTTTTAACAGAAGGCGAAAAATATGACACCGAATTTGGAAGGTGCATTGGAATAGCAAAAGGTGGTTTCCAAAAGCTAAGCAAAGTAATAAGAAACAAGAAAATGTCCTTAGGAAGTAAAAAGAGTGCTCAACTGCTATGTAATATCAATTTTCCTGGAATATAGCAGGGAAGGCTCGACAATTTCCACACAAATGGAGAGAAGACTTGAGGCAACAGATGTGATTCTACAAAAGGATGCCGAGGATATCATAGACAGTGCATGTAAGTAATGATGTTTTAAGGAAAATGGAAACAAAATGTCGCTTATATCTATAATCGGAGAAAAAATTAAACTTCCTAAGAAACAATGAAGAAAGAACGCTCAGAAAGTTTGACACGCACACAAGACCTATTGAAGGCAAGAGAGAGGGAAACTGCGAACAACTTATCTAAGGAGATTGCATAAATGGAAGCCAAAACGAGGAGAGGGAGGAACAGTCAAAAGATAAACATTGCCAAGAGCTACAAAGGACAGAAATTTGTGAACAGCCATGATGTACGATCGCTGAAGTTAAGCAATGTCGAGCCTGGCTCGATCAGTGACGCTATCTGACTTCGCATTTATTTGAGTCATTTGTATCTATGTGTATGTGTGCGCGCGCACGCGCGTTTATATCTACTTATCTGTGCATATATCTCTATCTATAAAAGGCAGGATGTGTGTGTGTGTGTGTGTGTGTGTAACAAATGCATGGCCGCAATTTTCGACGTATTTACATGCACATGCTCCAAGTTAGTGGGAAGGCCAAGACCGACTTTGCATTTCCCAACTCCCATCGATAGTGGAAAGAGTCGATTTTTTCATGCTTCTACGACAGTTTTCATGTAGTTTGCGGCCATTTTCTACTGGCCAGAGTGAGAGCCTATAGCTGGCTGCCACGAATAGGCAGGAAGATTCTATTGGCCAACGTGAGAGCCAACAGCTGACTGACACGAATGTTACTAACTAGCATGCTAGCAAAAAAAAATCGATAGCTGCATTCGTCACAAGTTAAAAAAATTTAAATCTGCATGGCACTTTACTCAAATTGGCTCATTTGCTTGCTTAAACTCAACGTTGATTCTGATTCCGCAGAACTGGGTTTGTTGTGAAAAAGTATTTGTTATTAACATTCTTTTTTCATTCGGTTTTTCCAGTTACGAGTCCTTTTTAAAGCTGATCGTTTTGTGTTCATTTTGTTTAGTTCTTTTTTCGTAACAGATTTAATGTTTAGTATAGAACTTAGAAAAAATTCGCAGTGTGAGATAGGCAAGAAGTAAGGCATGTAGCAACATCAGCACGGCAAAGGGTACTCCTTTAAATGAAAGGAAGGGCAAAAATATTTTAAGCCAAGTGATAGCGATTGCTGTATGAGTCGTACGATTTTTGAATCAAGCACGGGCAACGCCGGGCCATGCTGCTAGTCTCTAGATAAAGATGGCTTACGGCCATTACACGTTGAAACACTGGTTCTCGACCGATCACCGAAGTTAAGAAATGTCGAGTTTGGTCAGTAGCTAGATCGGTAACTGCTTGAATGTACGGGTAGTGTAAGGAATAATGGCTAGTAATTGTTAATCGGAGTGTCGAGTTCCAATTCCATTATATTCACTTACATGCAAATCCCCTTGGGGGAAAGCATGAATCCATCTGTTCTCCCCTCTCCCCAGCTATGGGTTAATTTGTAGGAATTGTATCCGTAAAATCATTATCTCCATAGAATTCTTACAATGTAAAATATTTCCTGCTTTAAATAGCCTGCAAAAGGTTGATAAACCGTAAAAAAACAAATCAATCAATAACCCCAGGACATTTGGTCAGTACTTAGTTGGGTGCTAGTGGTGTAATGGATGGTGGGTCAGACTTGTTAATCGGAGTTCCAATAACAGTTGGGTTCGTTATAGTGATTTTCCAAGCATGGCACAAGGCCGAAAGTATGTGGCACCCAGTGAGGATCGAACTCACTACTCATTCGGAATTGTTCTAGCGAGGCTAGCTTGGTAACCACTACACCGCCTCGGGGTGCCCCAGTTGGGTTCGTTATATCCACTTCTTTTCCCCCAGCTACGGGTTAATTAGTAAGATTCGCACCTTTTCTGGCTTTAAATAACCTGAAAAGTAAAAAAAAACGAATCAATGTAATCAAATCAAACTTGCAAAAAATATCCATCATTATTAGAGGGTCTGGCACGGAAGAAAAGGACAAATACCTTACGAGCAAATATCCTTGGGAAATGTATGAATCCACCACTTCTTCCTCGGCTATGGATTAATTAGTAAGACTTGTATCCCTAAACCATTATTTTCTCACCCTCCCCTAATTCTTCCAATCAAAAAAATATTTTCTGCCTTTAAATAACCTGCAAAGGTTTTATAATCCGCAGAATACGAATCAGTCAATGAAAACAACTTTGATGATCCATATCCTGATGGGATATGTCACCTGAAAGAAGAATTTGGTCAAAATCATCCAGAAACATTGTTAAGGACGTGATTGGCCTCGTGGATCCCACCCATTAAAATATTTATATGGTAAAGGGAAAAAAGCATTGATCGTAAAACGTTAAATAAGATGATTTTATTACATTAACGAATGATTGATTTGTATTTTACGGTTTATCAAACTTTTGCAAGTTATTTTAAATCGGAAAATATTTTTAGAAATAATAATAATTTACTGATACAAGTCCTACTAATTAACCCATAGCTGGGGGTTACAGGATGATTCATAAATTTCCCATTGGTATGTGCGCCTAACTAATCCGACGGGAATTGGAACTTGGCTCCTCGATTAAAAATTCCGAGCCATTATCCTTTACACCACCCGCACATCTAAGCTTACAGCACCTGGTATTCACAAATGGTCACCCATCTAGGTACTGACCAGGCTGGACGTTGCTTAACTTCGGTGATCGTACGAGAACCAGTGTTTCAACGCGATATGGCCGTAAGCGAAATATACCATTCACAAGGAGAAAAGACCATGCCTTTTAAAGATTAATAGCTGAATACATGTTAATGCATAAAAATGCAATATCAAACGAAGTCAATAACCGGTACATTTCTATTGCAATAAATATGTAATAATATTTACCGAATTTTTGTAATATGCGATAAATGTAGTCACAATTTAATCTAAAAATACGTTTGATATTCTGTCTCAAAATCAAAACTATAAAATTAAATTGAATCTTAGTTTTTCCTTCCGCTTGTGCTGTTAGGCGTCGCGAGGAGACACAGTCGTCTCTCAGCGGCAAGGCGAGTGGCCTGGAGGAGAGAGATCTCGTGGGCTCCAGCATCTTCTTGGTCTGCCTCTCGCTCTTCAGCCAGGGTACCTGTGGGTGTAGTGATTTTCTAAGCCCGGCTTAGATGTGGCACAAGGCCGAAAGCATGGGACACCCAGTGAGGATCGAACTCACTACTCAGTCATAATTGATCAAGCAAGACTAGCTTTCTAACCATTACACCACGTCGAGGTGCCCGAGTCACTGTGGGTGTATGCTCGTAGATCTGGTTGGTTGATAGGCATGCGAGTGAGGAGACCGAACCACTTGATCCTTTGTAGTTTGATGTGTTGTATGATTGGTATTGCTCCTACCATATCTCTTAGTGCCTCCTGATCTTGTTTCTCCTGGTCTTGTTAACTGCTTTTCTTAGGCATTTCATCTCACATGTGATCAATTTCCTCTCAAGGGTTTTTATGTCAGACATGGTCCCTAACAAATTGAATCGGTAATTAATTTAAAGTAAACAAATGAATATTACGAATTTCAGTAGGAGTAGATAGGAGCGTCTATCGCCAGGTTTCAAACTCTACCTCGGTTATTTTGACCATGAGTAGAGATTATTTACCTTATTTACATTGCTCGGACTGTCGTCCTCATCTTTATTATGTTCACGTCGTTTCTCAAGGACACGTTGACCAGTGAATAAAAAAATTGGTTGGATCCAGTGACTTGACCCAAAGAGTTGTGTGTTCAATACTTAGCTACGGCAGTGGTGAACAAAAACTTGAAGAGTTGACTTAAAGGGAGATAACTGAGTCATCCGAAAGAGGTATGGCACGTAAACTAGAACAATCTATCCCAGTGGACAAAATAAAGGTTTCAGTTCGAAATTCCAATCAACTGACGAAGGCCGGAGCGTACAACGGCCGAAACGTCGTGAACATGACAATAAAGATGGGACAATAGTCCGAACAATGTCAATAATGACAATAATGTAAATAATTATAATACCTCACCTTAGAAATATAGACAGATATAGGAGTAGAGGTTTATCCTTTCTTTCGTATTTAGGATAGGGTTTCCTGTTCCTTGTAAAGTCTTTTCATTCTCTTTCACTCCCAGTAATCCATTGGGTCTTAGTGGTGTTGTCGCATTACTTGAAGTGAATTGATTATAAAAAATATGATACGTAGAATTTTGCAATAATGGAAAAACGGTGTGATAATAAAAACCAAAATGAAGACTAATCTGTATTACACATTAGTTAGGTTGGACCACAGATATAACGCACTTCCGGTCATACCGTCTTTAATATAACCACATATGGGACTGGAAAAGGTTAATATTTAGTTCATGTGTATATATTATGTTCTTTATCCTTTTTAGTTCTCGTGTATATATTACATTCTTTTTCCTTTTTAGTTCTCGAATATATATTATGTTTCTGTCTATATTTCTGGGATGAGGTATTATGTACACTATTTACATTATTCGGACTATTGTCCTCATCTTTGTTGCCATATTTATCACAATCTTTCGGCCGTTGTACGCTCCGGCCTGCTTCAGATGGTTGGAATGTCGAACTGAACCCTTTATTCCACTCACTGGAGTAGACTGTTCTAGTTCCACGTGCCATGTCTAATGGATGTTAGTTATCAGTTATATCCTGTTAATTCACCTCTCCAAGTTCTCCACTGCCTTATCCAGGTATTGAACTTATAACTGTTCGGGTCCTGTCAATGAATCTAACCAACGCCTTTATCCACATTTTCCTTTTGTAGTTCTCGTGTATATATTACGTTCCTTTTTTTATTTTTAGTCATCGTGTATATATTATGTTCCCTTTCATTTTTAGTTCTCGTGTAGTCTCCCACTAATTTTTAGGTTTAAAAATTTGGGAGAAGTGCATATAATTATGGTATAACATTTTAACTTTGATGTGTTTATATGAAACTTAAAGTCTTTGCTACTCAACGCAAAAGTAACAATCATTTTGGTTCAGTGAAAATGGTCATTGCGTCCAGCGAACAACCTTGAATTTCTGAAACCTAAGACAATCAAAAAACCATTCATATTCAACTATCAAATAAGCACATCAGTCATGGACAACTAACTATAACTGCAGACATTAAATTTCTTGCTTATTTAAACAGATTCAGAATATTGGATAGCAGAAAACCTATTCAATAGAAATTAATACAGATAAATTTATTCTGAAAGTACTTATCATAACTGCATTTTAGCTGCTTTTTATTGGGACATATTGAGTTACATTGAGCATGCGTACACAGCGTTCAGAAAGAAATTCTCTGGTTTTATGTCGAACATTTCTTGTGAAAGAAAAACGTTTGTGATTTCATAAATAATAAAACGTTTTTAGACTTCAAATCATATCTTCTTTTGTGTGCCGTCTCCCTTCAAGACGTTGGTAATCACGACTCTCCATAATTTCCTGTCCTTTCTAGCCCTTAATAAATCTTTTTTCACTGCTAAGCTCTGTTCCACCATCTATTTTCACAAGCTTGCTAGGTAGGTTATTGTTCTGTCTCTATCTATTTCTCGCCTTCAATCTGTCAAGTGAGTATAAAATTTTCCAAGTCTCTTTTTCTTATAATGTGCTTTATAAATTTTCAATCATTTTTTTTTTTTGTTTTGATTCCGTCACAAAAATAATTTCTCCATATTTTACACTCTTTCATTTCAAGGATACTATTCTGAATTATCTCAGTTCCTTCTTCTTTTATTTCTACAACTGTGTATTTATTTTCAAACTACTAGTAATCTTATTTCGATTTTTCATGTCAGCATGTTCCCTTCACTCTTCTTATTTGAATATTTATTACTGTTTTTAGTAACTCTTTTTATCCCATCTCTCTTTCGACTTTTCATGTTTTCTCCAAAGTTTTTTTTTCCAAATTGATTCGTTGTATAAAATGTCAAATATAAAGAAAATGGCGGAGAATGTCTTCTCGTCGTGAACTCAGTGGGGGCCAGAAACAGATTCTTGTCGCAGTGCCTGCTCAGTACAAGACTAAATTAAGTTTGACATGACAAAAAAGAGCGAAAGCGATTTATTTTGACTCTTTCAGAGAAAATAAAATAAAGAGGAACCGAGCCACACCTATCCACGCGTTTTCTTACCATTCAATCCAGCATCATTTCATATTTTAAAATAAGGCCCCCCCGCTCTATCACTCTCGACATAATGAATAAACAAGATATAGTTTTCTACATGTTTGGTTTGTTTTTCTTTGCCACAGGGGTATAGGACTAGTAGCGTCCGCGGTTTCACAATATGCATTTTACGTCTACGTCCTTTTTCTTTTTTCTCAGTGTTACTTTTACCCCTAGGACGTCCCTTCGAAAAAAAAACTCGAAACTATTTTAAATCATGAAAGCAACAACACTATTCAAGTTTACACGACTTGATTAAAAGGACTTTTCTGTTGGAATGGGGGTGGGGGTAAAAACGTCAAATTTCTTATCCCGAGTATTATGAAAGGCGCACCCCCCTCCTAAAAAAACAACTTTCTTACCCCGGTGTAAGATTTGAAAGAAATGAAAAATTAAAATGGCACTGAATACAAAATTTAAAAAAACAAGCTTGCACAAAATGTTCCTTTGTGCGTAACACAATTAGGCAAGATAAGAAATTCTAAATGCAATTATGATTTTTATCAACAAAATGTTTAAAAAAGAATTCAACTGTCGAAAGTTGTTGAAAAAGGATAGCAAATTTACAGTCCTGCTTTTGTTTCTGGTTTGTTTAGACAACAGTTCAGTTTAACAAACTGAGATGAGATAAATCTCGTATTTTCATGAAAATTTCAAAGTCAGGGTTAATACCTCTAATTTTGAGACAAACTTTTACAAATAAATATGGATAGATAATCGGATGTCTCTCTACATTTGTAGAAATTTCACCATTCTATTCCTTTTCTTTCTTTCTGTTTCTTCGCGTTTCTATTTTTTCTTCATCTAAATTCAGTTCCCAGCAAACAACCAGCACCTTCTTTGTGAAAGCCAAATTTCTTCTGTTCGTTGACAAACCAGACTTCTTAAATAACCATAAATCGGCTCAGTATTCAATCAGAAATTTGATACCCTGGTCTCGTAACTTACTTTCTTTTTTGGTTTTAAAAAAACTGCAAATGTATCTGTAGTGGACGCCTACGTACACCACGCCCACAAATTACTCAACATTAATTGGACGAAAAATAAACAATACTTTTTGTACAGACAATTTACGCATCGCACGAGCCACATAAAAATTTCTCGTGTTTTTGCTTCACCAAACTAGCTATAGAAAAAAATCAACGATTGGTCGATTTTTGCCCAATCACATTAAATGACACTTTCTTCGATATCCTTCCCGCGCTCGTTCTGGGAGCCACCTTACATCTATATAAAGTAGAAATTAAAGAAATAACTTCAGTAGATTATAAATTTTCACAATCTAAACCACGTACGAGTATATTCAATTTCCTACTCACACACACAGATATAAACTAAACTCACACAACACAGTGTACTGTCTGTTTACAAGCCAAGTGAACTATTCGAACTATATCATTCTTCTGCACAAATATTTCAACTTTCAAACTCAAACATTCTTAAACTACCAACAAATTTAAACAAGACATTATTACAACATACATTTGTTCTTCACACAATACAAGGGAAACCACTTCGTGTGACTTAATCTTTATTGTTATTAACAGAAT